CTTTATGAACAGGTAGACAACACCTTTACTCACTGTCTTGAACACATCACGGGTAAATTCAGCCTGTCGAGCTAATCAACACAGCATGCATTAAAACAGTCAGTACTAGCTACATACACGGTCTTTGTGCTCGCTATACTTCGATATGTTGCGTAAAAGACCCGAAATTAGCTAAATATCAGGTGAACAGCTGAGCTCCGTACTAAACTGAGTTTCAATCCCTGTGTTTTGGAGGTGAACCTAGCGTTCAAAACACTAGAGACCATCTAACTAGCTTAGTAACAGAGCCATGCTAATGTCTGATCCGGATATTTCCCTGCGACCCTGAGTCCATAAACATGCTAAATTACATTATCCCCAACTTTGAAATATTACAGGAATTATTAATATACGGTGTAATGTCGCTACTTACTTCACAATTGTAGCTGCTGCTGGCAGATGCCATATCCTCGTCGTTTACATCCAGCGGCTCTAAGGTCAGCTTCACCACTGCCAGCCCGGCAAATCACGTGAAGGATTTTTTTTTTCTACCAAGTGCACCTGGGTTTTTTTTCTACCATGGTTGACAATTTTTTTTTCCCAACACTTCAATTTTTTTTTTCTACCATGTCATCCATAATTTTTTTTTCCAACATTAAAAAGAAATTATTTTTCTACCGCAATATTTTTTTTCTACCTTAAACATCACCAATTTTTTTTTTTCAGGGGGGTTCCTAGGGGGCTCCGTAGACTCCCGACTTCGCTGATAGAAGAAAATAAGAACAACCCCAGGTTTCGTTTCAACACTGTAGCTAGGTTGACAAAGAGCCACAGTGCTGTTGATCTCAATATTCCCTTAGATCTCAGTAGTAACAACTTCATGAGTTTCTTTACAAATAAAATCACAAATATTAGAAAAAAAGTTTATCAACTCATTCCCACAACTCTCAGACGTGCCATCAACTACAATGACTTCATCTATAAGACCTCAGTTATACTTACTGCTTCTCTCCCATAGATCTCTCTGAGTTGACCTCAACAATTGCTTCATCTAAATCATCAACATGTTTCTTAGACCCGATCCTGACCATGCTGTCCAAAGATGTCTTGCCCCTAATCAACATGTCCATATTAGATCTGATTAACCTCTCTCTATTAACAGGTTATGTTCCACAGGCTTTTAAAGTTGCAGTAATCAAACCTCTACTCAAAAACCCTACTCTTGACCCAGGTGTCCTAGCTAATTATAGACCAATATCCAATCTCCCATTTATTTTCAAAATCCTTGAAAAAGCTGTTGCAAAGGTGTGACAATTTTGGTTTGTTTTTTTCTTAGTTCTGTGAGACATTGAACAAAATACGCCTGAGAATTCACCATAAATAACCTTAAACAGCAATAATTATCGCCTCATGTCACCTTCCTTGAGTTCTACCTGATTAGAAATCAGGAAAGTTGTGCATTTGTACTCCTCCTACACAAAATCAAGTTTGTTGACATGGCTTGATGTCATTTTTGTTTTTACAGGTTCATCCCTGAATCTCCAAGATGGCTTCTCTCTCAGAAGAAAAAATCCAAAGCTATCAAGATCACAAAGGACATAGCCAGAGAAAACAAGAAGCCTCTGCCCAGAAACATCGAGGTAGCTGCTGGTTTACCAGTCAGACCTCGATCAGACTGAGTCCAGCTCATTGAGTTAGACATAAAGACGAACTTTGTGCATCTGTTACCACAAACGAAGTTTAGAATAAGAGACACACTTCACCCACTGGATTTAATTACGTAATGCAGCTTCCTTTTTTCCACTTTATTTGTGAC